CTCCATAGATCATTGAAGCCATTTTGCTTCTATATATGTTTTTAGCTAGAAACTTCTGAAAGTTGTGATCATACTCCTTGATGATCTCATCAACACTACTGGGAGTTTCAAGAATTGTTTCCTTCTGAGAGTTTTGTAATAGATTTTCTAATTTTGAAACTTTATCTTTTAACTCAGAATTCTCCAATGTGAGACTCTCAGTTTTATCAGAGTCAGAAGCAAGATTCCTTTTCAGGTTTCTGAATTTGACTCTGATCTGCTGATATCGTTCCAGAATCTCATTAAGGCTTTCAGCTAGTTCAGCCTTAGTAAAATTAATAGTAAAGTCAGGAAATACCTCTTCTGTGTCTGATTCAGAAGCTTCACTGTCTTCTGTTATGTTTGCCATGAGAGCTATGTTTGCTCTCTCATCATCTGATTCTGAGTCAGCTTCAGATGTGTCAGTCATCCCATGTAGCCATGAGACTTTTCTTCTTTTCCTTTCCAAACTTCTTTTTGGGCTTTTCCCTCTGAAGCTTTGGGCAATCACTCTTGTAGTGTCCTTGCTCGTTACATTCATAGCAGATGATGTCTTTGTTGTTTGACTTTCTGCTTCCTGAAGAGCCTTCAGATCTTCTGTATCCAGAGGAGGATTCTGACCTTCTGTATCTGGAGGAGGATTCATTCTGATTCTCTGATCTTCTTGGATTCCTGAACTTTCTTTGCCTCTGCTTCCACAGTTGGTTCACCCTTCTGGAGAGGAGAGACAATTCATCTTCTTCTGATGAGGACCCATCAGAGGTTTCTTCTACAGCCTGCAAAACCTTGGAGTCATATTTTCTGTTAGATTTTAAAGCTAATGGCTTACCTTGCTTTTGAGGTTCATCATCTTCTAGCTCTATCTCGTGACTTCTGAGGGAGCTGACAAGTTCCTCCAGAGAGATTTTGTTGAGATCCTTAGCTAGCTTCAGCGCTGTGACCATTGGCCTCCACTGTCTTGGAAAGCTTATGATGATCTTCTTAACATGATCAGCAGTAGAATACCCTTTGTTGTACCCCAAAATTTTCCCTCCCATATTCTTCAAGATTTGTCAAAGATCAATCTTCAAGATTCCTCAAGAGTTGCATAGTCCAATTGCCTCCTAAGGCAGTCAAAATTAGGGTTTTGGTTCTTGCAAGGAAGTTGAGGTTTTCAAGGGCACAATCAAGTCCCATGTGCCTATATACATTGTCAAGCATCCATATGCCAAGTCTCAAGACTCACAGGGTCCAATTGCACAGTCAAAAGCCCTAATTGCTCCACAATCAACTGTAGGGGTAAAATGGTCATTTGGCAGTAAAAAGTTAAAAATTTTGGTCAACATCTTATTTTGAAGCCACAATCATCATTTGATCAAGTCTTGATCATGATTCCATAAGAATGGCTCAAAAATCATCAAGATGCAAAAGTTTCCATTTTTGGACAGCTGAAAAGTCAACTGTAACTTGACCAAGGCATAACTTTTTCATGGTTCATCAGAAAAATCCCATCCAATGCTCATTTTGAAGGGGAGAACATTTCCTATAACTCATCTTCACATTCCAAATCCAAGAAATGCTCTCACAAAAAGTTATCAATTTCAACATTATAGGTCATTTTCAAAAGTCAACAAAAAGGCATTTTAAGTCAAAGACCATAACTTGAGATTGGTAAATCAAAATGACATGGGACCAAAGACATTGGTTATAGGACTTCAAGACCTTTCCAAAACGTCCAAAAACATGTTCATATGATCAAAATTGAGCAAGATATGCATTGGAGAATTTGGGAAATTTTTGTGAAATGACAAAAGTCAACTATCCTTGAAACTTCAATTTTTGACAAAAGGGCCCACTTTCTTCCACTTGATTCAGCCTTGTCATGCCACCCACGTGTCCCATGATTAATTTCAAGACCAAACATTTATTTTTTCATTTTTATTTAATTTTTGTGGATTTAATTCATTTTAATCCATAATAATTCAAATAAAATCAAAAAAATTAAAGGAATGGAATCTTGTGGTTTGAATAACTTTCATACAGCATATGCCAACTACCAAATTCGTGTCAAGGCTATTTTGAGCACAAAATCATGGTTTTGAACCAAGCTTGGAAAGTCCTTTAATGGTGTTAAAGCAAAATCCAAAAACTTAATTGCAATGGATCCCAAGCTCATAATGTGACCTAATTCCCTTTATACATACATATGCAAGCAAGCCAAGCCTCATTCACCTGAACACTGCACAAACGGCATAACCAAAATCCAAAAAATCAAGCAAAAGTTGAAAACTGTTTTCAATCCTCCAGGCCCTTTCACGACAATTTAAAGATTCAAACATATTCCTAACACTCCCAGGAACATTTTGCAATCGGAAACAAGCTTTAAAGCTCAAAGAAACGCCATTTACAGTCACACGGTTTGTCAATATTTTTCAAAATCGAAACTCCTAATTCATGAACATTTGGTGTGATTTAAAGCTTGTTTTATATTGTTTGCAACCATACAAAGCTATTCATATCAATTAATTGGATTATCATGTACAGGTTTGTGATTTGCCATTAACAACTTTTAGGGTTTTTGAGTTTGTGAATTAGGGCTTTGCTGCTCAGACAAAATTGGACTATCTCACGCACATGGTTGAACTCAGGAAATCAAGACGAACCAATCCCAACCCTCGCGCCTAATTTATATAGAGCGTAGCTCTATTCGTTATTTTCTGTCGTTCCATTTTGTGGGGGTTAAAACCCCCCGCTAATTGCCTTTGTTTTTACAGGAAAAAGGTAGAAGATGAAGGACGTGGAAAAATGGGACTGGACAATTCAAAAAGTGGCGCGCGCGTTTAGTTCTCTAGCACATGTTTTGAGGTTTTACATATTATAATTAATGGCTATTGTAATATCATATGCAACGCTTGGCTTAGTGGAGAATGAGGTGGCTGGTCACCATTGGGACCTGGGTTCGATTCCCAGGTCCCCCAAAATTTCTATACATTTTTTTTCTTTACATGCTTGTGTGTAGGTTCCAAAAGAAGGTCCATCATGCACCTTGCCCATCCAGCGTGCCAAGTGTCTCAAAGAACAGATCCAAAGGCCAGAAAATGATGAGCACCATGCTCTTCAGTCAACCATACGCACCTGAATCCAAAAAGTCAATACAGGCCTGAGCTTAGTGGGCCAAAAACTGCAATCAACACCTCCAAAAAAGGCCTGCACCCCCTTGGTCTTTGTTACTCTTTTTATTTTCTTTTCTTTATAATTTCTTTTTATTAATTATTAGTGTTATTATTTAATTCACAAATAATTATTTTCATAAACAAAAATCAGAAAAAAAAACTAATATTTTTATTATTATTATTTTTATTAATTTCACTTAGGTTTAATTATTTTGTAAACAAAATGTAAATTAAATTAAATTACTTTGATTAGTTAACTTTAATACCCTTTTTTACAATAAATAAAAACAAATTTAGACTTAGGCTTTTCTTTTGACATTTTTAATTCTTTTTTTTATTTTATTTCATTAAACATAAAAAACACAAAAATATTTTTCATTTTTAATTAATTAATTAATTAGCTATTAGGTTTAATTTTAATTGCAAAAAAAGGGGACAAAATTCAATTCTTTCTCAAAAGGGTCAACACCCTAAGGACGTTCCCGATTAAATTTCTATTCGCACGTATTTATTTATTTTGATTATTTATGTAACTGCTCCCGGAAATGTAATAGTTAATTAGGACCTCCTTTATCGCTTTCTTTTAAATTCTCGCACTTTATTTTCCAAAACGGGTTTTTGTTTTTGGCGATGTATAGACCTGCGCCTTGTAATAGCTAGATTTACATTTCTGCAATTTATTTTCCGCACTCCTAACTGTTAAAAAATGCCTGCAAGACTGTATGATAATAAAATTAATCCGTAGCTCACAAATAACATGCAAAGATAAACATAAACTGAATTCAATACACATGCACATGCCACCCCTAGGGTACGCCTCACTGGTTGCCTCGAACGTGGTCATCAAGTATAGGGTGTCTTAGAGGTCGCCCTTTATCTAAAGATCCAGTTGCCTCGAAACAGTTGCCTCGGATAAAAGGATCTAAGACATTAGGGTTACCACTAAGGTGTCCTACCATTGCTTCGGTGACCACACTGTCCCTATAATCGAGTTGACCCGAACACCTCCAACGATGGTGCTACCTACCTCTCCATGGTGGGATAGCACTATCTTAAGGACTCTTACACAGTCTAATTCCTTAGAGTAGGTAGATTTCTCCTGGGTACTTGCTCTTTCAAAACAAACAAAAATACTTTTCACACCTCACACTTTATAAAAGTTTTCAAACAAATTTTTCATACACTCTTGAGGACAGATACAAGAGTTACCTAGAAATTTTTCGAACGAAACTTTTTCAATACCCACAACCACTTGAAAAGCAAACAATTTTGAAAACATAAGAGCAAGTACCTAAGAGCCCGTGGATAACCACGGATAGAAAGGGTGCTAACACCTTCCCTTTCTATAAATCTACCTCCCGAACCGAGAAACATTCTCAAAAAAGGAATTTTGTTGTGCTTTTGTCCTTTCCATATTGGAGAACATAAAAGACGGTGGCGACTCTTGCTTACCGCGACATACGCGATCCAGCTAAAAACAGTCAGTTCTATTTCCACCGATCACAGAACTGGCGACTCTGTTGGGGATATTAAAGGTGAGGTGTACCTTAGGATTAGACCACTCTTATGTTTTCAATTGCTTGCTTTGTTTGCTTTAAATATTGTGGGCTTGCCTTGGGAGTTTCATAGATCCTAACCCGGATCTAGGGGATACCTTTTTAGAAAGTAGCAACAAACTGTGAGGGAACTGTGCGGGGTATACCGACACGGTTGAAGCAGTTTGCTACATTGATGTTGCACTTTGGTGAGTACCGGTAACCCTTGAGTCAAGTAAAGGAGAGTACGGGGCCGCCGCGTGGTGTCGTGAAGCATCAACTGACCTTAGGAACCTTACTTGACCATCCTGGCCTCTTTAGGGGTAGTGAGATGACCGACTTTGGTACAGTCCGAAGTTGGTAGATACTCGATACTACACTCATTGAGGGTTGTTTTCTTGGAATATTTTGGTCGCCAGTTCAGTGGCTAAATCAAAACATTGAACACAGAAAACAACCCAATGATATTGAGATCCTTAGAACCCGGTTACTTTTGATAGGACAGGTTTTGAGCCCACCAACTTCAAGAGGGTAGTACCCCAAACTTCATGTTGGCCTAAACCCTAAGGGTTATCTGGTGTGACTTGTGTGCCTTATCATGTTTGCTTTTTGTGAATACTTGTGGTGTGTCCTTATCATAACATCGACACTAGTGCAGAAATGACTTTTTACATCGGGTGAAACTGACTTTTTACATCGGTTCTGGGTCCGATGTAAAGTCAGACGATATAGTAAATCATGGACTTTTTACATCGGTTCTGGGACCGATGTAAAAAGTCTCTTTTTTACATCGGTTATAATATAAGAACCGATGTAATAAACTGTTATTATGCACATTTTTTAAAAAATTGATCCAGTTTTTTACATCGGTTGTAAGTAATACCCGATGTAAAAAGTCCCTTTTTTACATCGGTTATAATATATGAACCGATGTAAGAAACAGTTATTATGCACATTTTTTAAAAAAATTGATCCAGTTTTTTACATCGGTTGGAAGTAATACCCGATGTAAAAAGTCCCCAGTGACGCAACTTTTTACATCGGTTATTATCCCCAACCGATGTAAAAAGTCCCTTTTTGAAAGTTTTTACATCAGTTTTTACTAATAACCGATGTAAAATGTATGAAATTTTTTTGGAATAGATTATTTATTTTCTGGATGTTTCCCTGTACAAATATAATTTGTACCCATTTTTTCATATTTTTCCAATATCACACAGACTATATTTATGTCGCTATATAGATTTCATAGCTTTCCAATATCACATATATCACATCTAGGTCGATGTTTTCATATTTTTCACAACAAACTTACAAATTGAACAATTGTATTACAAGAAACAAACTTACAATTACAAATTCTTCACAAAATATACAACAATATTCAACTATTTATAAGTCTTTTTTCAAAACTTACAATTACATATTATTCACAAAATATACAAAAATATTCAACTATTTATAAGTTTCCAAACTTAAATTACCAATATAAAATCTTCGGTAGACATAAAATCCAATGAAGCTAACATAAAATCCAACAACCTTGTTTGAATAGGCCCAACTTTGAAATGCATAACAGTTTCTGTCCAAGTCACTCTTAACACAACATTTAATGCCTGCATTTTAATATCTCATAATGTTTTAATTAAAAGAAACAAGTATATTCTAAAAATAATTTAAACATTGAAACTAAAAAGAGGTAAATGGAAATTACCATAGACATGTAGTATATGCTTTTATTCTTCAAAACTAAATCATCTCTTAGCCATGCATTTCTTGAGTTAGGATTAAGAAATCCCTAATCTTTGACAAAATTCCAATACAGTTGATACATTGTAGCTGTCACGGATGTGATTATAACAATAAAAAACATTATATTGTTATCTTGTCTTCCATATGTTACTCTAGCTCCTGCTGCAACCATTGCAGAGATATACTTCCCCATGTTTGGCAAATGCGCAACATCACTGTCATCATACCATCTTCTTACACACTAGTATTCACATTCAAATAGTAAAATTTAATTTAGTAATGTTAATAGAAAGTTTAGAAATATAGATTAGTACTAAACATTAAGGGCGTATTAATATACCTGAAGGGCACGCCAAAAATATGGCAAAAATGAGATAATGTAGGTTATTTCCATGTATAATCTTCTGGAACTACAGGTTTCAGGGTGGTGCGTTTTGAAAACCCGGGATAAAATGTGACAACTCGTTGTTTCCAAATGTCTTAGCAATGGTATCTGTATACAATGATATACAAAAAATGTTATTAAGAAGTGTAACGATAAACAAAGGAAAATAATAGGATAAATTCGTTGAAGGATAAAAGATTTTACCTGACTAGTTAGTTGATCAGCCATAAAAAAATCCACCAGAAGAACCTGTAGGAATAGTAAATCGAATCAAACAATTAGAACTTTCATTTTGTACACATGAAGTATGTTATATCGTTATCAATTTATCTAATTGTTCGAAAAAAGATAGTATAAAGAAAATATACCTTATAAAAAGGAGAACAGATAATGTTACGAATAACGCGGATGAAGCAGAATCGAGTTGGACGATAGAAAATGTCTAATGGGCAAATGAGCATAGCTATGAAAAACTGAAAAAAATACAGGTAGTTCATAAAGTGTTAGCTCAATGATAAAAGTTTGATATTATAATATGTAACATCAAACAACAAAGCTCAAATTTCATCAAAAAACTAACCAGAAGTAGAATTCCGGGAATGGCGTCAACATTGCCAGGAAAAAACCCCGCAGCCCTTAGAAGAAGGTGCAAGACCATCGCTCCAACCACAGCAGTCATGAAGACAGTACAAATCAGAAAAGCATCTCTATGCTTTAGCGCCGTGGTCGGCGAGAATTCAAATATGAAATTATGATTTATTCTTGTCGCTTTCCACATATATAAATTGCAACCGTACATAAACAAGTGTAGACTAAACAATGCAAATACACTGCATAATATAAAAATCATTGTAACCATTAAATTAAGAACCTCATAAAATTTATATTGTTTATATAAAATAAAATAAAATAAAATCCAATATATTTTTAAAATTAATTTTAAAAAGCATCCACAATGTGTTCTCTAATGTTTATTTTATCAATGGAAATAGAAATAGGAAACACATGTAGTTAACGAGCCCTCATCTTTTAGCTTCACACAGTCGGCCTGTGTTACCGGAAAAAAATGAAAAATTCATGTGTTACAACTGAAACTGAAAAGTATAGACATTCATCACCTGCTCTTTCGGAGGTAGAAGTCCAAAAGCCGCTCCCATTGCTAACTGAGAACTTGATTCCTGGACAACCATTTTGAAAATGCTAATTAGCAGAGAAGTGAGAATTGCTTGTTGGCATATAAACAAATCACCCTCCAGTGAGAAAGGAGGATATTTGGCAAAGCATACCGGGTGATACTGAATTAGATTATTTATAATTGTCAAACGAATTGCTTCTAACAACTCTGGATCTTTGACTTTTCTGCCAGTATCACTGCAAAAAGCTCCACCAGCATATCCAAAGAATTACTAAAGAAGCTAGTTAAAACCTCATCCAAGATATTTGTTGCTTAAAACGAAAAAAAACTAAACCCAAGTTCCCAACAAGTTTTACTATTCTAGAGTGAATTTCTAATACTGTTTAGGCAGGCTAATCTGAAGTCTGACTGCATATACTTGTGTGTGTTTTAACATGAATTTTGTTCATAAAGAAAATGCCTGTTTGGATTTACTTACTTGACTTGCCTACAAGCATAAGCACTTGAGAGACTGTTTAGGAGGGTTTATGGAAACAGCTTATGAGATATTTTATGTTTTGAAAACTTTTAAAAACAATGTATAGCTTATATAAAAACACTGACTTTATTTTATTTGTTGGTATCGAAATAGCTTATGCACAGGCACTTATATTATATGATCAGTGCTTATACTATATGTGCTTTACTAAGATGTTTATCCAAACAGAGGCAAATTAGCATAGAAAGTAACTAATTTTTCATGAATTGATTGCTTTAGTTGTATATTGTAAGGATGGGCTATTAGGAGCAAAAGCACAAGGAAAGGCAAGTGTGGGCCAGTGGTGGAGTGAATTAAAGAAAGAAAATGTTTATGGGAGTTTCTGTCAGAACCAAATGATGGCCTAAACTAAAGAGTCACTCGGTTTGAAGTTTGAACAATGCTAAACGAGATGACCTATCATGACATGAACATTCCAACACATTAAACCTAACCATTCTCGTGTTATAGTTTAATCATCAATTAATTACCGTTGCTTTCTTGTTCCAATTTTACTAATGATTTGATATCATATGTTTTATTTATAATTAAGTGTTACATCCTTAATTATGTTCTCAATCTCATGTCTCCATTCACAATTGTTAATCATAAAAAGCAAAATAATCATTATTAACAGTCAATTAATAAACCAAAATCAATAAGTGGATTGAACAACTAACATATACTCGTAACAATAGCATACATAGTGCGAAAAACACGTAAGACTTACGCTTTTGTGATGAAAAACTTGTTGTGTTTGCCAGAAGAATCCAAAAAGACATTTGCCTTAACAACATTGAGACCTAAGCTTTTTAATGCACTCATCTGCAAACCAATGTTGAGAGTAAAGTTTTTTGTTCATAATGTACACTAGCAGATAAGCAGGCAGAGAAATATAATAAGAAAACAGCACACCGTGTCAAGGAGAGCTCCAAGCCGATAATTGTACTTCCAGAAGATAACAATCTGACAAGTTTTGTGAAGGCGGTGTGAGAAGAGAGGAAGGGAGGTCGCGCGAGAGGGACCGGCGGCTGAGGTTTGGCGCGATGGTGATGGTGAGCGGCAGCTGAGGTTTGGTTTGAAACGGCGGAAAAACGAACGGAAACGGCGGTCGAAAACCTTCGGAAACGGCGATCGATGATGGTGGCTGGGAAACGGCGGTGGTTGGATCGTGAGCGTGAGCGTACAGTGGCAAGGAGTGAAACGGTGGTGGTTGGGTCGTGAGCATGAGCGTAGAGTGGAAACGGCGGCCAAGGAGAATATTATACAGTGGAAATACTGAAATTTGTGAAATAAGGGTTTAACAAGCTATTACCTCGGTGGAATAGGATAACCGATGTAAGGGTTGGTTTAGTGGACAACCTATTACATCGGTGGAACCTTACAACCGATGTAAGGGTTTTGGCTTTTTTACATCGGTCCATTGTAATAACCGATGCAAGCTGATTTTCTGGCTTTTTTACATCGGTTTATACTTCAACCGATGTAATAAGTTGCGAAAAAATTATTTTATTCTTTAATTTATTTTTTATATTAATATCTGTTGTGAAGATATTACATCGGTTTTTAGTCAACCGATGTAATATATTGCATGTTTTTTTTTAATATTTCTACTACCTTGTTTCTTATTTACAAAAATGCCACCGTATTTTTTTCTGAAAACTTTTTACATCGGTGGATGCGTTTGCCCGATGTAATAGGTAGCGAAATATATTTTTTTTCATATTTTTTATATCATTGCAAATAAATACCTGATGTAAAAAGTTTGTTAGTTGTATTTTTTACATCATATATTTTGATACCCGATGTAAAAACCTTTTCTCAAATGTCTTTTTTTTAGTATATCATAGCATCATACAGCATCATATGCATTTACTAACCACTTCAAAGGTTCGAATCTTCATCTTTGTTCTTGTTTTGTAGGACATGGAAACTATCCGCAGAAAGACAATTCAGATCAACCTTGTAAGGGTCCCTCCTCAGCTTAAGGAGCTTACATCCAGGATTCCCGAGAACTCTTCCTTCAGTGAAAGGCATGGTAGACTCATCAGCTTGGTCAATACCAACATTGAAGAGGATATGGTGAAAGTGTTGTTCCAGTTCTTTGACCCTCTGCATCACTGTTTTACTTTCCCGGATTATCAACTGGTGCCTACTTTGGAAGAGTTTTCCCAGCTGCTGAAGGTCCCTATCCTTAGTCAACTACCCTACAACGGTACAGAAAAGGAGCCAAAACTTGAAGAGGTTGCTAAAGCATTACACCTACAACCATCTGACATCAAGGGGCATTGGGAAGTTAAAAGTGGCATCAAAGGATTCTTGGCAAAATTCTTGTTTGAGAAGGCCCAAGAATGTTGGAACTCCCTTGACCTACAAGCCTTTGAAGAAGTTGTGGCACTCCTTGTCTATGGGTTGGTGTTGTTCCCGAATCCAGATCAACTTGTAGATATCAATGCTGTCAAGATCTTCATGTCCAGGAATCCTATACCTACGTTGCTTGGGGACATCCTCCACTCATGTTACACTCGAACCATGAGAAAAATAGGTGTTCTCATGTGCTGCACTCCTCCCCTGGCAAGGTGGTTTATTTCGCACCTTCCACAATCAGTTTTGAAGAACGAGCGGGGTTTGATATGGTCACAATGGTTAATGACTCTTACACATGCTGATATACATTGGTGTTCTCGGTCCAGAGAAAATGTCACTATCATTGATCGTTGCGGAGAGTTCCCTAATGTTCCTTTACTTGGAATTAGGGGGGGCATTACTTACAACCCATGTCTGGCTTTGAGACAGTTCGGATATGCTCGGAGGGATGGCCCTCATGATATGTTGATTCCTGACATAATTTTTGACTTTGACAATGATGCACAAGGACTTTGCCAGAGATTCATCAGAGCTTGGAGGATGCCCAACAGGGTAGATAGTAAGACACTGGGACACAAGAACTCCATCCCCCTGGAGCCTTATCTCAAGTGGGTACGAGCCCGCTCCCAGAAGCTGGTAATGCCATATCCTCATGTTCTCCCCGTGATCAAAGAACCTATTGTGGAAGGAGAGGTGCCCTACACCATTCAACATCCAGATATGCCAACTTCTTGGGAAGAAATGCAGAAGAGCTGGATCCAACTCAAGGAAGAAATGAATTCTCTTGAAACCAGTCTACATGCCAGTGAGAAGAAGGTCTTGGAGCTCACCCGTCTACTTCACGAGGAAAAGACTCTCAACACCTACATCGCTCCGAAGAGGATGCGCATTGTCTTTTGGGATTAATTATTTTGTAGTGTTTTGCCCATGAGGCCCTGATGTACTGAACAGATTATTTCTTAATGCAACGTGTGTTCCTTTTTGTCTACAACGAATCTGAACTTTCGAACCCTTGAATGCATTGCATAAATAGCATATCATGCATCATGTGCATAACAGGTACCATTTTCTACAAGTTGCTTAATCTTCTTCGTTGTTTATTTCAGCACTCAGTCATCATGAATCCTGAACCTACTATCGAGCAAGCTATCAAGGCCCTTCAGGCCCAGAATGCCCAGTTCCAGGAGCTGGTCATGAACTTATCCCAGGGACAACAGGAGTTGAAGGCTTTGCTCCTGAAGAAAAAGAAGAAGAAGAGGACTGTGTTGTTCAACACTGGACGCAGACTCGGGAATACACTGCAAAATGAAGCTGAGCTGACTACTCCATCTGTTGGGGAAGGCAGTCACCAAGAGAGAGAGGTTCCTAGTCCCGTGGTCTCTGACATCGAGACAGACTTCAATGATGAACAATACCCTCCTATTGAGGACAGGTACAAACAGCTGGAGGATCGGTTAAATGCTATGGAGATTCAACGTGTGCCTAGGTTGGATTTTGGAGACTTAGGGTTATCTTCTGGGGTGGTGATTCCACACAAGTTCAAGGCACCTGCCTTTGTGAAGTACGACGGGGCTTCCTGTCCTAAGTTGCACCTCCGTTCTTATGTAAGGAAGATCCAGCCTTACACTGCAGACAAGAACTTATGGATCCATTTCTTCCAGGAGAGTCTTTCAGGGGCTCAACTCGAATGGTTCTATCAGTTGGATGGAACCAATATTCGTAACTGGGAGGACTTGGCTACTTCTTTTTATAAGCAGTATCAGTACAATTCCGACCTCGCTCCCACGCGTACCCAACTCCAGGGTATGTCACTTGGGACGGGTGAAGGTTTTAAGGAGTACGCGCAAAAGTGGAGAGACCTGGCTGGCAGGGTGTAGTCACCGTTGACTGATCGTGAACTCTTGGACATGTTCTTGGGGACCCTGTCTGGTCCATTCTTTAATCACCTGATTGGTAATTCCTCTGCTGGGTTTACAGACCTGATCCTGACTGGTGAGAGGATCGAAGCTGGTATCAAATCGGGGAAGATACAGAAAGGTGCCTCCTCGAGTACTGAAAAGAAGCCCTTCAAGAAGGAAGCTAGTGCTGTTTATGGTCCCAGAAGACAGAATAAACCGGAATGCCGCCAAGCTGTCAACGCGGTGGTAATTTCAAAGCCTGCTGCTGCTCCTCAGCAGTACAACCAGCCAAGAGTTGAGAGGCCCAAAAGGCAGTACACTCGGCTCAGTATGACCCTGTCACAGATATTGCCGCAACTGCTGTCAACCAATCTGGCAACTGTCAAAGAAGCTCCGAAGGTGGTGAACACGACCTCTCCAAAGTACAACCCCAACGCCCGTTGCGCTTATCACTCTGATAGCCCGGGGCATTCTACTGATGATTGTTGGGCTCTGAGGAATAAGGTTCAGGACCTTATTGACGCCAAGGAAATACAGTTCGAGGCGCCCGAAAGGCCCAATGTTGTGACTGCTCCCATGCCCCAGCATGGAGTGAATGCTGTGGAAGAGGAACTGTATGTAGCTTATGTGGATGATATTGCTACTCCGCTGTTGACCGTCAAGAGGAACCTGATGCTGGCCGGTTTATTTCCGGGATATAGTAAAGGTTGCCATTTATGTGTTGTTTCACCTGCTGGTTATCCTTTGCTGAAGTCAGGCGTCCAAAACCTGATGGATAGCAAAGAGATCTTGTTCAAGAAGATTGTTGTTCCTGCTGCCCGTACCGAAGAAGTTTCTATTGTCACCATTTTCAACAACCCTCCTAAGGCTCCCTCAAAGAAGCCTGTCAAAATTATGCCTGTTCACAAGATTGCACCTATCATCATCACTGTTCCGGGGCCCATCCCCTATAAGTCTGACAAAGATGTCCCATGGCACTATGGGGCAGATGTTTATGTTCTGGGAGTGAAACAAGAGTTCGATACTAGTATCGGTGTCACCAACATCACCGGGCCTGCTAAAGTCACTCGTAGTGGAAGACTGTTCTCACCAGACATTGCACCTCCAGCTATTCAGAGACCTCTCGTCATTACACCTGCCAGCATGCCTGCTTCCCTTCCTGACCAAGTTCCTGTTTCTACCCCTACTGCCGAGTCATCTGACGCTCGGGGCAAAGGGATTGCTACTGATGTGCTTGCCCGGACGGAGGCACCAAAGACCAGTGTTGAAGCTTCCAAACAAGAGATGGAAGAGATTCTCAAGATCATCAAGAAGAGTGATTTCAACGACGTTGAGCAGCTGAGGCATACCCCCTCTAAGATCTCTATGCTATCACTTTTGTTGTGTTCAGAGGCCCATGCCAAGGCCCTGATTTCCTTCCTGAAGACGGCCCACGTGCCACAAGAAACGTCTGCTGATCAATTTACCGATTGTGTGGCCAACTTGACTGCTGATAATGGGTTGGGTTTCTCTGACGCCGATCTGACTGCCAAAGGAAAGAACCATAACGACGCCCTGCATGTCTCCATTGAATGCAGGGGCACTACTCTTGCCCATGTGTTGGTAGACACCGGTTCTTCGTTGAACGTATTACCCAAGAAGGCTTTAGACAGGTTGGATTATGAGGGTTTAGAGCTCAAGCCTAGTAACATTATTGTCCGGGCCTTTGACGGGTTGAAAAGGATGGTGCATGGGGAAGTTGACATTCCAATTAGGGTTGGTTCTCAAGTTTTCGACTCTACTTTCTATGTGATGGACATTCGTCCATCCTATTCTTGTTTGCTGGGTCGTCCATGGATCCACAAGGCTGGAGCTGTGACCTCCACATTACATCAGAAGCTTAAGTACCCGGTCAGAGGGAAGATCGTAACAGTTCAAGGGGAAGAAGAATATATGGTCAGCCACCTCAACTTGTTTCGGTACG